GAAGGGTATGGGAAACATTGCTATGGTTCTAAGAGTCAGTAACACAAAAAGATATATTCAGAGAAGTATCATTCCCTCTCATCCCTGCAATCCAAGCCCATTCTTCCCTTCTTTTCAGCATTTTCCCAGCAACCTATTTTGTTTGGGGGTATACTTCCTGTATCCTGTATTTCCTTCTATCTTTTCTTTCTTTTTTTTTTTTTTGAGTTGGAGTCTCACTCTGTTGCCCAGGCTGGAGTGCAGTGGCACACCAATGTCAACCTGCTGGGCTCCGGCAATCCTTCCACCTCAGTCTTCAAGTAGCCAGAACTACAGGCCCGCGTACCACGCCCAGCTTATTTTTGATTTATTGTAGAGACAAGGTCTTGCCAAGTTGCCCAGGTTGGTCTCAAACCCACAGACTCAGGCAATCCACTCATCTCGGCCTCTCAAAGGGCTGGGATTACAGGTTGAGCCACCGAGTCCAGCCATCTCTTCTTTCTTACATAAAGTAGTATACTACAGATCTTGCTTGGGCATTGCTTTTTTTTTCATGTAACTATATGTCCTAGACATTATTTCATATCTGTTTAAAGAGATCATCTTCATTCTTTCATATAGCTGCATAGTATTCCAGCTTGTGCCTGTATGCTTGTTTATTTAATCATTATTTTACATATGCATCTTTAGGTTGTTTCTAATATTTTGCAAGTACATACAAAGTTGCGATAAGTAACCTTGTGCATATGTATTTTCACACTGTAGGAGATATATGCTAGATCCTAGAAGAGGGATTGCTGGATTGCAACATAAATGCCTATCTAGTTTGTTAAGTGTTACCAAATTTCCCTCCAAAGGGTGGTGTAAATGTGCATTCCCACCAGCAATGAATCGAGTGCTTGTCTCCTCTACAGCCTCACCAACAGAATGTGTTAAGAGATATACACATACACACACACACACACACACACACACACACACACACGTGTGTGTATATATATATGCATATATAAATTTAAATATGTATGTATATATATAATTTTTCTGGCCAGTCTGGTAGGTGAGAAATGTTATCACAGTGTTTTTTTTTTTTTGAATTGGAGTCTCGCTCTGTCACTCAGACTGGAGTGCAGTGGCACGCTCCCGGCCACTGCAGCCTCAACCTACTGGGCTCTGGCGATCCTTCCGCCTCAGCTTTCCAAGTAGCCAGAACTACAGGCGCGCCCTACCATGCCCGGCTAACTTTTGATTTATTGTAGAGATGAGGTTTCACCAAGTTGCCCAGGCGAGTCTCAAACCCGCGGGCTCAGGCAATCCATTCACCTCAGCCTCCCAAGTCACGGGATTACAGGCTGAGCCACCAAGCCCCGGCTCACAGTATTCTTTTAATTTGTACTCCTCTACTTGAGTATTTTTCATATGTTTGAGTCATTTTTGTATCATTTTTGTGAGTTGACTGTATCTCTCATTTTTCTCATGATTCTTTGCCTTCATTTTTAATTTTTAATGGATATTTAAGGATATTAGCCCTTTGCTATATATATTGTGACTATTTTCTCTGAGTTTTTCAATTGCTTTTTGACCTTGTTGATGATAGTTTTTGTCAGTCAAGATAATCTCTGGTTAATTTGTGTGAGCATGCACCTATGCCACTCTGATGGAAAGTGCTGGTTAACTACAGTGACCAAGCCCACTAACAGCATCACAGCCTATTTTTCCCAGGCATGTGAACTGAATTAACATTTATAGGGCACTTCCTGCATACCAGGCAGAGTCCAGGCCCCTTCCATGTGCCAGGTCAATTTTCCTCACAACAACCCTGAGAAGTAAGCAATGATCCCATATGACAGATAACTAGCGCTCAGGAGAGGTTCAGTGATGTGCCAAGGTTTCTTTGAACTACTGGATGCCCGATTCTAGAAAACATAAATCTAAAGAGGGGGTTCTCAAAGAGTGTCCCTGGAACAGCAGCCTCAGCATCTGGAAAACTGGAAAACAGATTATCAGCCCATCTCCAACCTGCTGAATTCAAAGCTGTGAGAGTAGGGCCCAGCAATCTGTTTTCACAAGCCCGCCGTGTGATCCAGAAGCACTAAAGTTTTTTGGTTTTGTTTTTTAGTTGAAGTTTCACTCTATTGCCCAGGCTGGAGTGCAGTGGCACACTCACGGCCACCCCAGTGTTGACCTGCTGGGCTCAGGCGATCCTTCCGCCTCAGCCTTCCAAGTAGCCAGAACTACAGGTGCACGCTACCACACCCTGTAAATTTTTTTATTTATTGTAGAGATAAGTTCTCACCAAGTTGCCCAGGCTGTTCTCGAACCCATGGGCTCAGGCAATCCCCTCACCTCGGCCTCCCAAAGTGCTGGGATTGCAGGTTTGAGCCACTGCACCCAGCCTCTGTAAAGTTTGAGAACCACCGCAGGCACAGAAGTTGGAAGTCAGCACAGCTGCAGATCATCTAAAACAGTACTTCCAGCATACGTTCCACAAAGTACTAGACTTTAAGATTGTTCATGGTAGTCCCCAAATAAGCAGTTCACTGGCAACTAAGTTTGAGAGAATCCCTGGCTTAAACAAAGTTTCAAAGGCATTTTTCTTGCAGGACATCTTGAGTTTTAACTAGGCTATTGCTCCTTGTACATCTCAGATAGTATCCAGGTGCTTTCCCAAACTTCCTGACTATGGAACCCTCTTTCCTCAGACCTATTAACTATCTCCCTGGGCATCTGTGTTCCACGGAGTCCAGTCTGATAAGCATTAGTCTTGAAGAAGAAAGTCAAGAAATACAGACATTCAAGACAAGCTTCTGAAGAAGGCAGTAAATACCAATACCCATTCTGGATTCCATGAGATAGACTTTCTCTTAGCTTCTGTTTAATGACAGTGTGTTCCAAGTTCACCATCTTATGTAAACCAGAGGAACAGGAAATTCACTCCAGCCTTAGGGGAGATGTGGAGTTGGGGTAATTAGAAAAAGAAAGCCTGTCAGTGACCCCGGGGCCTTTGGTGAGTAATCCCAGCCAAAGCTCAGAGAAGCCAGACCAGTATTATTATTATTATATTCTGAACTAAAGGAGGACTGACATTTGCAAGAGCTCGTCAATTATTTTAATAACTAACTCTTCAGAGTGGAGAGAGGCCAAGGGCATGGGTGTTCCTCATTCCACAGACATGTAAACATTTGAAGTCAACTCCACACCCCAAGGCTTTAGGAAAACAGAAGTGACCCAGATTCATCAGCATCCTGAGAGTAGACATGTTTTAGAAACATCTTTTTTACCTGCTCTGAGTTTTAAATATTGCTACCCTTGCCCATGTCTAACGGTGGGAGTCTGTGGGGGGTCTGAAGGAAGATTTTCCTGTTTGATATATTCCCTAGGCAAGGGGCATTTCTCATCTAGGTGAAGAGCTCAGATGGAAATGTGGCAGGAAGAGAAACTGAAAAGTAAAAACATGCCAGGTAACATCATTTCCCAAGGTCCACATTCACTCATTCATGCAATTCAGTCACTCATGTGGTCAGAACAAGGCCAAGGTGGTCTCGGTCCTCATGGGTTAAGGTTCACAAGGGACATTACAGTACAGGGTGGTGAGGATGTGATGTGGGGGGTGAGGGGAGAGGGATGTAGGGTGCAGAGCATACCCCAGCCCTGAAGCCAAATGTGTGGCCCAGTCTGTGGGTGTCCACTGGCCTCTTGCCTTTCCTCTACCTCCCAAGGCCTCCAGCAAAGTCCTGTTAGAAACTTCCAGCTTGTCTTAGGTCCTGATGACAACCCTGGCCAGAGGAAAAGTTCCAACTGCCATCCTGCACAGCTGGGGCCCTGGATGAAGGAAGCCAGAAACCAGGAAGTCAAACTGGGAGAGAAAGATAGGAAGACCTGAGACCCTGACAGCGACTAAGCCACCACACCAGCCCCAGACTTTACACACTGCTTCCATGTAAACGAGAAATATATTTATATCTTGATTTTTTTAAATAAAAAATCACCAGGTACATGAAATATTTTTAATGTCTGTAATAATGTTTTTGATGGTTATAATTCACATATATATATGTAATGGTTGTAGTATATACATGTATAATCAAAAAGCTTAAATAAATTGGAATTATTTCACTAAAAATGCTAACGAAGAAAATGTGTACACTGTTCAACAGTTTTCAAAACATTAGCAAGAGCTAGAGCAGCAGAGGTGGTTCTGGGGTGTCCTGATTTTATGCCCCATGGAACCCATCTCAGAAAGAACAGGGCGATGCCAACATGTCTGTAACATCACTGCCCGGCCTGTCCCCTCCAAATCTTCAGGAATGCCAGCCCTGGCCATGTCCCTCCCAGCCATTCCGGGGAGTCTCTGGGGAAGGCCTCCCCGTGCTCTGAGAACTGGACCCCACCATGCCTCCCATGTGCCATCTACCTTTTTCTGCCCTCACAGCAGTATCTATACTTGCTCCGTGATCTCTGCCTGCCACCTGGGGACAGCAGCCCTTGTGCAAGCTGGCTCCGGCTGTTTCAGATGTGATCTCTGGTCTGGGAGGTTTCTGCAACCAGCACCAGCCACTGCTGATGCATATGGCCTCCTCTCCACAGTTGCCAGGGTGGAAGGACAGTGGGTCCTTTTTGGAGCCATACATCCCATGTGAGGAAGCATGGGATCTGAAAAATAAAAACAGGTCAGACACGGTGACTCACCCTGTAATCTCAGCACTTTGGGAAGCTGAGGTGGAAGGATCGCTTGAGCCCAGGAGTTTGAGACCAGTCTGAGCAACATAGACCTCATCTCTACAAAAAAGTCAAAAAATTAGCCAGGTGTAGTTTTGCTCACCTACAGCTCTCCAAAAATAAAAAAATTTTAAAAATAAAAACATGTTATCCTGCTGGCAAAAAGATGCTGCAGCGAGCTAATCACTAGCACAGGAAAGCACTCCAAAATCAGCAAAAAGGTTTAGATGCAGGAGATACTTGGTTCCACAAAGCAAGGGAAAAAATCATATTTCCCCCCAAAATGGATGCTTAAATTGAGCTGACAGGAAATATTGAACTGTTTATTTTTATTTTCTAAAGACTAGTCGACTTGAAGCAGTGGGAGCAGAGAAGTAACAAAGAAATCAGTCTGTAACTGGTTGTGATCAATTTGCTGTAAACACCATTGCACTCGGACCAGCCTGGACTATTTGTTTATAAATTCCCAAAGACAGACCCAACATACCAAGACTCCTGGTAGCAAAGGTTCCTGCCTTTCCCAGTTTTGTTTAATCATGGACACTTGGGCTACAGGTGCTGACAGACATGCCCGCACTTGGCTGCTGCCCCTCATTCTGCAGACACAGCCTAAGAACTGGTTCAAAGAAGAAGGACCAGGAGCTGGAGCCCTTGACTTCTTCACCCTCTCTCTGAGGCTGGCCCTGTCACCTGTGTAGTCAGAGCATGGCATGCACAGATGCCCACACTCAGAGGCCAGGGAGCAGTCTTGGTACCGTCATTCACAGCCAACTGCTCTGAGAGAGGTCACAGCCTATTTCTCCAGAGTTCACTAATCCTTCCCTGGGTTTGCAGCCAGTCTTCTGGAAGCTCTCTCTGCCCCTCTCCACTGGCATTAGGACCAGCAGTACTTCCAAAGTCTTTGTTTGCAAACTCAACTTTCCTGTCCAGACTGTCCCTAGAGGGAATGTTCTTCCCTTCTCTTGCTCCCTACTTGATCTATGAGACAGCTGTGCCTTCAATGTATTGGAACAGCTGATATTTTCCAAACCAACAAAGAAGGTTTCAAACTCTACAGCCCAAGGTGCCCACTTGGATGGAAAAACACTTTTCGGTAATTTTCTGAACCAATAAAGATGGTTTCAAGTTCTATGGCCCAAGGTGACCCCTTAGGTACAAAAACACTTTTAAAACACATAACACCACTTGTGTCTTTCCCTTTGGGCCACAAACTCTCAGTAATTCCAGGAGAAAAGCTTCTTATATAAGGACCCTAGGAGTAAGAGCGCCTCAGAAGCCAGGGCTGGCTATCCTCCGCCCCAGCTTGGCACTGGCCAAACCAGCCAGGTGCCAAGAGCTACTTCCCTGACGTGGAACTGGCAGCAGCTCAAGCAGGACCTCAATCACTGAGGAGAATGAGCACCACCTCAGGAGTCAACACTTGGTTTTCCTAAAGTGTCGAAGTCCAGATGACAAGGTGGCAGACGGGCAGCGGCCTCACACTGGGAAGCCACTGAACACTGGGATCCAGCCAAACACAGCACAATTTTATGAAAGTCCAGAAATGCTGACTGTCCTTGAGAACTGCTCAATGGCAAGAAAATGATAGCTCTGTTAACTACCAGCTCTCTTCACAAAGATGCAAGCGCCTCCAACAGGAAGCAGCAGGGCTGTGGGGGGCTAGCTCTCAGGAGGAGGCAGCCTCATGCAGAAGAAAGTTTTGGAGTCAGCCAAAAGTCTGAATGGCTATGTGACCTGGGGAGTCCCTTAACTTCTCTGAGCTGCAAATTCCTTCCCTGGGGTGGAAAATTGCTATCTTGCTTGCCTGAGTGGTCTGAAGGGTAAGACATTTGTCTTCAGAGCCCAGTGTGACGTCAAGCACACAACAGGTGACTTCATGAGGGGAAGCCACCAGAAGAGGTGCCAAGGGGACTGTGAGGTTGCAGACACCAAAGAGCATGACAAACCCATTTGCCTCATCTGTCATTCACCCACAAGGGGCAGAAACCCATGATGAAGACACTGGCAAAGGAGAAAAGACCATTAGGAAAATAAATCTGACCAGATAAAAAGCCCTCCAGAGAGTGGATTTTTCCAAATTGCTTCTAATGGCTAACTTGGCAGCTGCGAGCATTTTTCCGGCATGACCCTACAGGCCTTTCCCGTCCTAGAGGCCATGCTTCCGTTTCTCGGGAGTTAATATTCGCTTCCGGTTTTGTTCAAAGAGTTCTAACATTTTCTCCATGTGGTAGTCGGCGTCAATCACCTGGAAATGAAACACACAGGTCGCAGGATTGCAGTGACCTCAACATCATCTTCCCTTCACAGATTAAGGGAGAGATGACGGCAGGGAGGGGCACAGATTTTAAAAAAAGGTTAGAGCCAAACAGCCCCTGGCTCTGAGGCAGTCAACACTCCCAATGAGATCTGCACTGAAGAATTCACCACAGTTGTCCCTGTGGTAAGAAGATTTCTTTTTCTCATCAATTTACATCCTCCAATTTTTTAATAATGAGGAAAAAAAATAAACTTTACTTCTTTACAAATCTGCTATGATAATAGATCTCACTTTCCAGCAACTGTACCTCCTGCAAGAGCCTTGAGTAGGAGTGTGTGAGCAGCCCAAAGTGTTGTCCTCAAAGCCATGCACAGAAGCTCATGCATGGCCGCCCTCAGATCTCTCATTGTACAGGGAACAATCTTGGGTACTCATTTGCCTGCCTAAAGAAATATGGGAACAGCAAACCAGAAAACAAGGGGACAAGGAAGTGAGGAAATACTGACAAGGATGAATACATCAATATCAGTTAGGAAGGAAGTGTTGGCAGGACAAAAGAAGGTCACTGTACAACACAAACACAGAAACCCAAAGGCATTAGTTGTCTGGGCAGACAGTCTCATACACTTCAGCACCTTCTATGGGCATCACTGTGTGACAGCCCAGACGAGCCACTGATGGTCCTTCTGATTACCCGAGTCACTGAGGAAAAATGAATGAGCCTCTATGTCACCCACTGAAGGAGGATGGTCACATCAGAGGGACTACCCCCCCCCACCAGTTAAAACCAAAACCCGGCTGGGCTCAGTGGCTCAGCACTTTGGGAGGCTGAGGCGAGTGGATTGCCTGAGCCTGTGGGTTCGAGACCCACCCAGGCAACTTGGTGAGACCTCAACTCCATAATAAATCAAAAATTAGCCAAGCATGGTAGCACATGCCTGTAGTTCTGGTTACTTGGAAGACTGAGGCAGAAGGATCGCCAGAGCCAGCAGGTCAAGGCTGCAGTGGCCAGGAGCGTGCCACTGCACTCCAGTCTGGGCAACAGAGTGAGATTCCAACTAAAAAAACAAACAAACAAACAACAACAAAAATTCCCAAAACCCACATCTAGGCTGAGCATGGTGGCTCATGCCTGTAATCTCGGCACTTTAGGAGGTCTAGAAAAGTAGATTGCTTGAGCACAGGGGTTTGAGACCAGCCTAAGCAACAAAGCGAGACATCATCTCTATAAAAAAAAATAATAGCCAAGTGTGGTGGTGCACACCTGTAGTTCTAGCTACTGGGGAGGCTGAGGAGGAAGGATCACCTGAACCTGGGAGGCTGAGGCTGCAGTAGCCATGATCATGCCACTGCACTCCAGACTGGGGGACAGAGTGAGACTCTGATTCAAAAAAACAAAAACAAAACAAAGAACCAATGTCTAGAGGCTCTGGGCATCTTGAATACTCCTTTGCTGATGATGCTGGACAAGTAACATGTTCCTGTGACTACCAGGTATAACAGCACTGGGACAGATCACCTTCTTGTAGGTCTGTCAGACTCATTCTAAGACTCAGTCCAGAAAAGGAGACTGAGAGAGAGAGATCCCCTTGCCAGTCTTCTCATCTTCCTCCTTCCAAGTTCTCAAGTTCTGAAGGCCTAGGCCCTCCCTGTCTTCAGGGTGGCTAACATTCCCTGGGTCACTCCTTCTTCTAGAAAAGTCTCCTACCCCACGAGGGAGACTTACCAGAACAGGGGCTGCCACGGGGAAAAGGCTTCCTTTGATGAGCCACTCCTCATAGAGGCAGTGAATAGCATCCAGGTATTCCTGCCAGGAAAACACAAGCTGTGGGAGTGGGGAGGGGAGCAGACCCACCTACCAGGGGTCTCGGGCATGGGGACAAAGTTTGTCAATGATCACAGGTCACTAGAACCCTGCAATAGCCAACCTGGCTCAGGTAGACAGCGGTAAACATAGCCGCACACTCCATGACCAGCCAAGCACTACATGAGTCAGACACATCACCAGCTACCTGCTCTGCTCCACAGGGGATTCGTGAGCGCAAACACCAGCTCTTCCCCAGGTGCCTGAGTCAAAGCCAAGTCAAGAGGCAGGAGCCCCCACCTGGTTTCTCCACTTACTGTCACTTCTCCAGCAACAAGGACCCAGTTCCTTCATGTGGAGGTCTGTGACCACTCTGTGACCAGGTGTCCAGCCTGGGCAGCCTCTAGACTCTCCCTTCTGACTTGCCACTGAGGATGGCAACCCACACCCCTTGCCACTTCTGTCCCCTCAGACAACTTGTAACCTGTAGTTCCTCAAGAACATAAAGAACACCAAGTGAATAAGGCCTGACGTGGTAGAGCCCAAGGGAAAGGGGCACAGACACTACTACCCTGAGCCATCAGGTCTGCACGCTGGGCAGACCAGGTGCACATGCTCTCCCACATGCAGACGTAGAAGTTCCTCACACGGTGTCCACTCACCACCCCAGAGGCTCCCGTGCAAACCATGTAGCCACCTTTTCATCTACCAGAGCTCTCCTCACCAACAGGAGCCAGATTCATCCCACTGACCCTGTCAACCCCATTAAGACAACAACCTGGATAATGGCTTGGAGGGACTCCAGACTTGACATGCCTTTGGAACATCTGGGTCACCACACAGAGCTGCTGTGCTCCATCACTGCATGCCCTGCTCCATCGTCCAGCTACTCCTGTTTCCAGAACTTCAAAGAGGTGCCCAGAGTGAGGCCCAGGCCTTCATGACTAGAATGCACCTTGCTGTCACCAGGAAAATACAAGGCTGGACAAGGCCTCAGAAGTTGGACAGGCCTTCCAGAGTCCCCAGGTCAGCCCGCCCTGAGTTCAGAGCCCCATGAAGCCCCACTAACGACTTGCCCAGCCTCTGTGTGTACGCAGTGGCCTGCTTCTTACATGCAGCATTCAGTTCAATATTAACTGAACAACTGGCAGGTGTCAGGCCCTGGGACTTATGAAGAGGACATAGAGGGAATAAGACCAAATCTTCAAAAGCTCACATTAGTGAGAAAAGAGGAACAAAGGCATAAAGAAATAGTGTTAGTATGCTGCCTTAAAGGCTGCAATCACAGTAAGCCCAGGGGCAGGGTGGAGGAGGTCAGGGAAGGCTTCCTAGAGGAGGTGACATCTGAGTTCAACTTTAAAGGCAAAAGAAACCACTGTGCAAAAACATGTGCATAACTCCACAATGTGTGTGAGTGTGTGTATAGCCACAACTACTTCCTTTTTGGGTCAGAGCATGGAAAGTAGATAGTGGAAAAAGACACCACCAGAGAGGCAGTTGGAGTCAGGTCATGTGGGATCTCATAAGCCATGCTATAAAATGAGGACTTCATCTTAGACAACAGTGAAGCACTGAAGGGTTTGGGACTAGGAAGGCATGAATTGTGTTCCACATTGGAAATACCACCATGTAGCAACCTGGAGGGAGATGTGAGGAGTGAAGGACCAGGGCAGGAAGAACAATCCAGGCCTGAAACAGAGACCTCAGCCAGAACCCAGAAGGCGAGGCATTCCTCCACTGGGCAAACAGTACCGAGCATGAGCACCACCTCCATGCACTGTGCTAAGCACTGGTATGACAGTGAGTGAGAGGACTTAGTCCTGCCCTCCTGGAACTCACATCCAAGTGAGAATCCAAAGGAAAGCACAAAGCCAAGCATTCTGCAGGGGGTGAAATAAATGAGCCCTGGTGGTGCCTGGGTGGGGAGTGGACACCTCTGACCATTGGGATGCAACTTACATCAGGGATCACAGGAAGTATAGCAGATCTGGATATCCACTCACGGTCTCTAGCCAAAGAGGAGGCCAGAGTTCACCCTCTGATCTGCTCAGCTCCTGTTTCTCCGTCTGCAGCCCACAACACAAAGCTCTCATATGGGTGGGGCAAGGAGAGGAAGCCAGGCTGGGACAGAGCGATCTCCTGGTTCATCTTTAACCAAGTCAAAGAGGCCTCTTACCAGAGGAATGAGCTTCTCCTCTTCCCTGCATCTCATCTTTAACCGCTGGTAACAAGTTTCAGGAGTGGTCCGGAGATAAACTGAGGTTAAAAGAATACATGGCTCTAATTACTCTGCTCATGGCTTGGAAGTGAAGTCCAAGGAGGGGAGAAGGCAGACACACAGGCAAGGGGTGAGAGGAACTGTCACAGCTCTGAGCTGGAAAGACAGACCAGGGGTCAGCTCTCAGCTTGACCGCTGGCCAGCTGTGTAGCCAAACAGGCATCTAGACCCTCACCCCTTGAGTCTTGCTCCCTTTCCACGCCCCCAGGCCAAGGGGCCGCTGTGAGGCTGAATGAGATTCCATTCATAGACAGAGTTTAACACAGGGTCTCACACATGTTGTGTCTCAGTGAACGTTCAGCCTTTACAAACTAGAAAAACTCATAAAATCACAACGGGTTCAAGTCTGAAAGTAGATGACCCAGGGAAGGCAGCTCAAGGAACAAAGACCAGAGTTCTTCTCCATGAGGGACCAGAAGCCCCAAATTCTGTCTGCCTGTGGGGAAGACTGAATTCAGATGGGAAGGGAATCACCAATGGCAAGCAACCTACCCACCACCCCCAACTGTTGGGGGCCCAGCCAAGCACATCCTCTCTGGGCCCAAGGGAGGGGCCAGCCTACCTATCAAATCGATGGACACATCAATGTTCCTGATGATCCAGTCAAACCATTCCGACAGAACCACATAGTCCACTGCAGGCATCTTCCCACTGCAAAGAAAGGTCTAAGGGTTATATTCACACAACAGAGTTTCTGGACCCTGCCATTCCGCAGGAAGGATATGGGATGGCTTCCACTGAAAGGGAGTCACCAAGAGCAAGCTGGTCTTGAACCCATGGGCTCACGCAATCCTCTCACCTCCACCTCCCAAAGTGCTGGGATGACAGGTATGAGCCACTGCACCCAGCTACTACAATTTTTAAAAGTTAACTTTAAAAGAAGGGAAGGAAAGCAAGAAAAGGAGAAGAAAAAAAGAGTTCAAACGTGAAGGAGAGACGTGGCTTCTATTCCTGGCATCTATTCCTGTGGGTTTCCTCTGCTCTGGGAGGAAACAACAGGGAAGAGACAGGAGGAATGGCCGCAGCCAGAGGGCAGGCAGGTGACACTCAAAGGCTCTTTTCACATCCTCCACTCATGGTTCCAGTTGGGGTCCACTCAGAACTGGGTTTGGCAAGACTGACCATGGGAAAGTAGCCACAACTGAGCAGGAGGCTCCCAGTGGGGAGGGCGTGAGGAGGAGCTGACCCAAAGGTAAGAGGCTGCACAAGTGTTAGAGGGAGGCGCTCTGGGAGACCCAGGCAGGAGCAGCCCTGTCTCAGGGCCCAAACCACTGACTGGAAAGGGATATTCTCCCCAGGTTTCTGAGACCACCATGAGGCCCTCAGCAGAGAAGAATGTATAGAAAACTGCAGGAGGGGGTCACAGACAGACCTCAGCTCGGAGACCAGAGCAGACCAACCTGTGGGACTGCCAGGATTTCCAGAAAAACTGGGAGAAGCCGCATGGGGGAGAAGAGAAGGGAGTAAGCAGGAGGCAGTCCTACAGCATTGCAGAGGGGACTCCCTGCCAACAAAAATCAGGTACAAAAATTAAGGTATTGACTTTGTGCCCACAGACAGGGATGGTGTGAGGACAGCTGGTCCCTCCCTGCCAGTCTTTCCTTGTACTCCCTTCTTATAAGTAGCCCATTATTTATTCAGGGTCTGTCCCACGAGCTTGAGTGCTTCAGCAATCCTGACCCCATCCAAGCTATGGGGCAAGTCCAATGGGTCTAAGGGAAATCCCCTCCCCCGGTCCCAGTGTTTGGTTCAGGAAGCCAAGTTGAGCCAATCAGCGTGAGGCATGCCCCAGTCAGGGGCCCAATTTGGATGTATGAGGCAAGAGAGACGTTTGCAGGGCTTATGGGATAGATGCTTCCTCATGCTTAGGAGAAAGCCACTGGCAAGACACTTGTCCTTGCCCTGACCAGCAAGTGAAAAGCCTGATAATGCCATAAGTACATTGGCACCATGAAGGAATCAAATTAAGGACATGGCCAAGACACAGAGTAGAAAAACGCAGAGAAACAGGACCAGAACCACTGAATTAAACCAACTCGCTGAGAGGGCCAGTGACAACTTCCCTCTGGAAACAGAAGCCAGATCTCCATGATTCTGAGAAATGTTGGACACAGAGGGTACTGTTTTAACTGTATTTGCAGTTTTCCTTCTAGGAATTCTGCCTAACTCCTACTGTGTCTGCCTCACACCATCTACAAGCCACTGCCTTTATTTCCACAGAACACAGAGGGTAGGGGCCTCTCTATAGCAAATGCAGCCACATAACTCACCAACAATGAAGTACAGAGGGGGTTTTACAGTATCCTCCTCTTACCCTGAGGGTGGCAAAACCAGTATCCAGCACCACATGAATCCTGTTTTATTTGGCACAATGTGCTGCATCCTTCCTCCTGGCCCAGAGACCCCCCAGTTTGCACACAATGGATTAGAACAAAAGTCTCACTCAAATACTAGCTATCTTGTAGACTTATTTCCCTTTATTTTCACAAAACCTTGTAAGGTTGGTTTTAGTCCCAATTTATAGATGAGAAAAACTGAGGCTCAAAGAAGTTAAGCCCAGTTCTGTCTAAGTAGGAGTTCAAGCCTCACTCTCCATAGTCCCCAAACCCATGAACCATTGTACCACTCGCTCTCCCTGGTCTGTCAACTGTAGGGATGTCCTGGATCAAGTGCAGTGTCTCTGGCCTGAGCTTGAGGAAAGCTGAGCTCTCAGGCCCAAGAACCAGGCTGTGAGTCCTCAGACTAGGCTAGAGCCAGGGAGGGCCCAACCCCCAGGACCAGTCAGGGAGGTAGGAGGACAAGCCTGCTGCTCCAACCACCAGGTCTTAACCAATGTCCCCGACCACAGACACAACTGAATGCACCATTTCCTAGCTGGGCCCCACTCAATGTCCTTACTTCTGTTCTTTGAAAAAGATGACCAGGCAATCTTGTAAAATCTTTGTGTTCTGTTATCCAGCCCACAGAGCTTGGGCTACACAACTGCCTGCATGCATGGGTGGCCTCTTTAGCTACATGAAACTTCCTCGCCACCTTCAGCTTTGTGTCACCCTTCAGAAGTTCTTTAAGGACACTACATAAACAAAATCTTCCTCTTCAGCAATTAACACAATCCTCTCAAACCCCTGGTGGCAAATGGCACTTGCATTCTGCCCACCCCAACCTTGCTGGGTGAGGGTACCAGAAGAGATGGGTCTCTCTCCAGGTGAGCTCATCACTGGTTCAAGGCCCAAAATTCAAGACCATCCTTCAATAAATTTTACATTGGGGAGATACAAAACTTCAATAAATGGGCTTTTTTGGCAACTGCAGACAGCAAGTCCATGCCTGCCAAACTCCCTCTATCCGAACCCCACAGATGCCAAACCAAGCTCGCACAAGATTCCGAGGAGAAAAAGATCAACCCCGGCACAGAAGGGGCAGCAGCAACGTGCCCCCCCACCAGCCTTGTGTAGGGGCTCTCCATCAGAGCAAACTCTGTTAGGAAGCTGTTTCCTTGAGCATCCCAGGAAGTAATGAAACACAAGCTCCCAGGCAGGAGCTGATGCCCCAACATGCCAGCATGTGGTTCCCTGTACCCGGCTGAACTCCTCCCTGCAGGTAGAAACCAAAACATCCTATTCTAGGTATGGGCAAAGGATCCAGCCAAACTCAGTCCTGTGCTGCAAGCTGTGGAGGCTCACCATGACAGTAATTTGCATTTTGAGGAAGAGAAACCTCTAGAAACATCTACTTCCTCAGTAATACTTCATTGTGGATGACTACTGCATCGAGGGAACAGGAATTGTAAGGAGAGTGACCAAACTTTATTCTTCCTTCCATTCATCCCTTCTGTGGCTCTGGCTAAAAATACTTTTTACTGTAGCTCAAGAGAGAAAAGCTTTGTCCTACAGCTGCCCCATACCTGGTCTAGGAATAAACCCAAAAGCCTTAAGACCAGCTAACATAACAAAACCTCTAACAACTCAAACCCACAGCAACAAATGTGAAATGAAGAAACTGCAGGCCAGGTGCAAGAAACTGAGGAAATCTTGCACTGTGCAGAATTTTCACCACAGCCCCAAAGACAACCACAGGACTAGGCTCCTGTTCTCATGACCCTCAAAGGGTCCAGCGAGGCCCCCAAAGACAACCTCCATACTGGGGATCCTGCCCTCATGACCCCCAAAGGTCCAGTGAGGCCCTCAAGGAAACCACAGGAGCAGAACCTCAGGGTAAAAGGGCTGTGGTATAGGGACGGAGGGCTCCCTGTGGACCACCTGGCTGCAGGTTTCTAGTGAGGTCTAATTTCTCCAAATGTGATTCTCGGCTAGCAGAAGCATAGCCTCACATGGGCACTTGCTAGAAATGCAGACTTTCAGGTCTCACCCCAGTTACACTGAAGTGGAATCTGCATGTTAGCAAGATACACAAGTGATTGTAGGAGAAGTCCACAGGAAGGCAGACTCTCTTCTGAGGCTAGGACATCAGGATTCTCAGCTTTTGGGGGCTTCCATGAGCCCTGAAGCCTTTGGCCTTTATGAGAGAAATCGAGGTGCCTCTTGCCACTTCCTCATTCATTGTTGCTTCCTCATATCAGGGCGCAGAACACCTCCCCCTCCTTTGGTTAGTTTCCTGCCCCATCAGGAAGACGCATGGGCTTTGTAATTCCTTCTCAGTTCATTTTTCTGTCAAATAGGGTTAACAACCTGACAATAAATGTAGCTCCCATCCATGGGTCCCTTCTCTGTTCCTCAACCACGTGAACAAATGCCCCAATTTCCAGGGAACACATAAGCTGATCCAATTCATAAGTGAATCACTAGCCCTGGGAAGATGTTTTTCAGTGCCTCTATCCCTTGGTTCTCTCAGCCCAAACTTGGGTACTCCACAGTACATGACTGAGGGAGGGGGTACTTCGTGCCACATGCTAAGCATGGTGTTAGATACAGGATCATCCATTTTCCTCAATGATAAGTATGCAAATTATTGTCCTTGATATAACATCAGAACATATTATGGGGTAAAATGCAAAATCCAAATGAATTCTAGGTTAAAAGAAGAGACTTCAAGACATTTCTAGGTTGTTGACAGGTGGCTACTTTGGGCCGTGGGGACTGCAAGATTAAGGTGAAGAGGCAGTACCTCTGGGGGCTTAGATCATGTGCTGGCTGATGGCATTTGGCTTCATCAAATGATACCATGCTCGGCCTTGAAGCTCCAACATGGTCCTCAGGGGAACACATACCCCTCTGGAGGTTATATGAACCTAAAACAAAACATGCTCAGCGTTGAGACTCCAACACGGTCCTCAGGGGAACATATACCCCTCTGGAGGTTATATGAACCTAATCCCAAGGACACCATGGTTCACTGTCTGTGGTTCACTGTCCCACAGAAATCCTAGCCACAAAGGCCATGCATTCTGGGAGGGCCATGGGGTCATAAAGTCATCAGTGCAGGAAAAAAGCTAAAAAAATTTTAAGGTACATTCTCTTCTAATACTACCCACAAAACAGCCCAGAGCAAGGCCCACACTGTCTGGACCAATGCCATAGCCACAGAGCTTGGGAAATACAGATCCCGCCCATCAGAAGTATGGTGATGCAGGACCACAGGTGTGAGTTACCAAAGCCCAAGGACATCAGCAGGACTGGGGCCTGGGACAAGCAAAGATGGTTCCTGAGGAAGTCCTCCTGGTGTTGGGCAGCCTCTGGGGGTTGAGGGACAGTATAACTGACAAATTTCATGAAGACCAAGGTGAACAAGGACCCACAAGAGGGTCATAAGACACAAGTGAAGTAAAGGTTTGAAAGGCTCTGCAGAGATGCACGAGGGGAACTAGAGATGAGAAAGGGCTCAGAGAAGTTGAGAAACTTGGTCTTGTTCACAAAGAGTGCAAACTCCAGAGCCAAGGTAGAACCCAGGTCCACCTAACTCCATATCCAACTCACTCCCCTCAACCTCTGATCACTCATTCCAGGTTACCCACTTCAAAAAAAGTCATTGGCCTCCACATAGAACAGGTCATGCTGAAGACAGACAGTCCTGCTAGGTAAAGTTCCCAGGAAACCCCACCCCACTACCTGGGGTCTGCTCCTCGGGCTCTCATCAGAGCAGTCAAGAGACATCACAGGGACTCTCTTCTCCCCTCTCCTGTCTGACCTCCCTTTAGCTGAGGCATTCATAAGCAGGGGGCAGAGGACAGCAAAGGGCTGAACAAACCTAGCAGTGGACACTTCATGCCTTGCTGAAATTCCAGGCCATTGGATGGGCGTGGGGCTCTCCCATCAGAAATGCTGCCTGCAGGAAAGGCAGCTGCAACCCACAAGAGAAGTCTGAGGTCAGTGGACAAAGCCACAGCCAGGACTTGCCTTGGCTACCTGCCTCTGATCTACAGTCCATATCTGAAACTTGGAGAGGATTTGGGACACAGGCTCAAGGGCATGATCCATAGTAGCTCACAGTCCACAGAAATCTTTTCAGTGACCCTCTCAAGTGAAAGGGTGCAAAACAGTAGGGGCCAAAGTCTGGGGGAAAAGTTGGGCTACAGACCAAATAGCTGCAGGTCCCATCATCCAAAAATAACTACCAAGTATTGACCAGGGGCCCACTTTGTGCTAGGTCAATGTCTGTCCTTGGGAGTTTATGGTCCAGTTGGTGAGGGGGAGGGAGGTACAATAAACAATCAACCATGTACCAAGTTGAACCATCACATGAAATTGCCATTTTTGTAGGTCAAAATTATCAGATATTAACAATTTAATATGGTTGTCTTAAATGCTACAAAGAAAATCAACAGAAAAGCAGTCGTTAAAAATAACAAGGGCCTGGGCGTGGTGGCTCATACCTATAATCCCAGCATTTTGTGAGGCCAAGGCAGGCAGACTGCTTGAGCCCAAGAGTTTGAGACCAGACTGGGCAACATAGAAAAACCTCATCTCTGCCGGGCTCGGTAGCTCAGCCTGTAATCCCGCGCCTTTGGGAGGCTGAGGTGAGTGATTGCCTGAGCCTGCGGGTTCGAGACCCACCTGGGCAGCGAGACCTCATCTCTACAAT